TCTCGAAATATTCAGCTCAGCAGCCATTTTTCTTCCGCTGCGGCGTGTATTTCGCTCAATTCGAGCCTTCACTTTCCGAACTATATCTGGCGAAGTGGCAGTTCTTTTCGGACCACCTCCATAGCGTTTTGCAATGCTGCCAGTATTGTTGTAACCAGTGTTGCAAATCAGTAGACATCAATATACCATACCAGCGGTATATACCAAAGTATACTTATATGCATAATATGAAGAAGAGCCTTTTGCAATTAAAAAAATGATGCAAAGTCATTAAAAATGTTTGAAATGTCAAATTTAAACAAGTTTGACAGATTTTAGTTTTTTGAGATTGTTTTTACTATGTGTTTATTGATTCTAAAGGCATGGTATATTATTTGTTGTATATACCGGTACATACCGTCACAGTATAATATACGGTATATCTCTCAACACTGGTTGTAACGAGCTATGGTTCGAGACACAAAGGATGGAGTCACTTTAAGGTGGTGCAGTTGTCTAACGATAGCAGCTTGTGCCTTTCCAGCCAAATAAAGCGCAATCACACTATTACGTTTGAATTCCATCACGGAAAAATTTGTTCACACAAAACTAAGACGTAAATGCTTCTGCAGTCTTGTAAACAATAGAATGAACAGTCAACAGACGAATTTTGACAAAGCTGTCATCAGCGGATCATCAGATATACTGCCCTGAAGTTTGTTGCAGTTCATGTCAGCCACCCTGTATATAATACTATTTGATACATCGGCCATTCCACACGAAATCAGGAAAGAGTTGTAATGTGAGATCGCCGAATTGGCTGAAAATTGGCTTGGAGTCTTGTTTCCTTACCATTTTTGGCTCAATTCAGCGTTTTATATGTAAAATCTCCATTTTGAGTGATTTTTTCGATGAAAAAGTCGATTTGAGACCAAAATACAACAAAATGGGTGTTTGATTGTTCACAGGCCCCCATTATTTTCGAAAATAAATAGGAGTTTTCTAACGTAAAATTATCGAATTACGCAAATTTAAGATACCTCCCCTACAAAATGACCGTTTTTCAGAACAATTTCTACATAAAACGCTGAATTGAGCCAAAAATGGTAAGCAAATTGGTATATTTCCATTTGTTCCGCTAGAAAATAAAAGCCATTCACGATTGAATGCAGAATAGGGAATTTTTCAAGCAAAAAAAGTGTTTTTATTGCGAGTTGAAAACATCCTCTGAAGCAGGGTCATTTTTCGACCTTTTAGACCCATCAGACAGGATTGAGATAAGTCTCAATCGATTTTCCGTCAAAAATTACGTCGAAATAGAATCATGACAGCCCATTATAGGTGGGTTTTCTATGCCACAAATGTGATTTTGTAAGCAGATTTCGAACATTCGTTTGTTCTATGAAGAAAAGTCAGTTTCGGACCAAATTTATAGGTAAACCGATGTGAAAAAGGTCGTTTTTTCATGTATTTCGACGAAAAAAGCAGTTTTTTCATATCAAAATGTCGTAAAAGGCCATTTTCGACCATTTTTCCCACAAAAACGCTGAAAAATGACATATGATTCATGACCAACAATAACATGCTGGAAAAAGGTTCATTCAAATCGACACAGTCTCATTTAGTTCAATTTTTGGATAATTTTTCGACAAAGAATTCGGAAGAAGTCACTTGAAAAATCCAAAACTCAAACGAAGTAGAGGTAAAGTAAATGTGACAAAAGCATCACGCTTTTTCTCCCTGCCTCGCTCTTTGTTTCAACGTTTTGCTGCCATTTTATTCCAGAATTGAGTGAACAACATTTTTATTCTTTTGTCTGTAGATGTCAACCCGATCAAATTGAAAATTTACGACTTTCAACTCAGCAGCTACGATTCGTTCGCCCTGGATTTGGTGTTCTTCTTGTTCACAAGCATTCAGAATGATGTTTTGAAAACGAATTTCAAGTCTTTCATCGCTTATTATAACACGGTGTTCATCCACACTATGAACACACAACCTACCGTTGCATGATTACACCTATGAAAAGTAAGTTTGGTTCTTCAAACAAAAAAATCTTCCAAAAAATGAATGGGGGAAGAACAGAAGAATAAAAAAGGATAGTTTAGATAGAGATAGTTGGAAAAAAGTTAAAATTGCTTCTCATGTTCGCTGGGGACGATAAATTATGGTCGATACAGAAAAAAAATGACAGTCAACACTGTTGACTCAACAGTGGTTGTTCATAAACTTTTTTGAGAATCTTGCTACAACGAAATTAAACAATATTCAATAAACACACTTTCTTGGGAAGGAATAGCTATTTCTACGGAGATTGGGATGGAAATTGGAACTTTCGAAGCATCAGAAAAACAAGAGTCAAATAATTTGTACTTTAAAATAAATTTAATGACTTTCCTTTGGTTTCTTTCATAAAAGTAACAAAAATGGTTCCGATGCAGCAATTGATCGCAAGAAATAGTAGAACACCGTGTAAATGAATCGCTTTGACTGATATTGGAAAGAATTTTTCACCCATTATCGCAACGATATTGATAGCCATTGAATAAAATGTCATGCCAATCGATCGAATCTGAAACGATTTGATAAAAAATGTTCTCATGAGTGTGACTCAAGTGAATTGTTTCAATCGATTTGATATGAAAATTTAATAGAATCATTCAAAATTGAGTAACAATCCAAGCTCGATCTTCAAAGCTTGTGCTTATTAGTAAGCAGCTGACCTTTGGTGGAAAATGCGTCAATTCCGGCACTTGAGATGAAAATAACAAAGGATAAGCCATGGGCGTGACATGCAGCCACATGGGTACAGCGCCCGTGTACTTCGTAGTGGAAAAAAGTGAAGCTTGCTTGTCACCAATATTGATGTTCACGAACATCAAATTGTTTATGCGTTATTTCGCCCACTTTATGCACTGGAAATAAAAAGTTCTTCAATTTCTAGCAAATTTCACATATGAATTCATAAACACATCGAGAAAACACAACTCTTTTTTCACATAAAAAGCATAAGCAAGATGATCATCAAATTCGAATTGACATTATTGTCAAAGCGAATTCATCGGGAAACACTGACTTGAAGTTCGACACAAATGTCAAATTAATTCGCCGATGTGAAGCAACAAAACAAAATAAATAAAAATACAAGCAAACAAACATTTTGTGTTGATCTAATCTGCAAGTTTTATATTTTTTCAGAATAAAAATGGTAATTTTTTTGTATTTTATTGTTTCATTCCAAATAAAATCTCTATTGTGATTTTTAAGTATACATTTATAAAAGATATCTTCAAAAATCAACTTTGAATGTAATATAATTTGTTATTGGCGACAAACAATTAATCGAACGCATTTAATCGAACATAAAATAATTTTCAGTCTGCCGGTTTGCTGATGTTCCCCGAATCGACCGACGAAGTGCCCAGTGCCCACCACCGATGTCGAAGAAGACAAACTAATTTCCGTGATAATTTAAATTTTGCCATTCAACATTCCAATAAGGGCAAACGCAGTGTAATCGAAAAACATTTGGAAGGCATCAAGCATTGGGGCCTAAATCGACATGACAAAATCAATCAACCGTCCCATTGTATTGCGAAATCGACGCCAAAGGAAGAAATTGAATGATAAAATCATTAATCTTCCGTATTTGATGTTCCTAGACATTAATGTTTGTGCTATCGTTTGCAATCGTTCGCGTGGTTTTTCGTCATAGCCATTTTAATAAAAAATTATTTTGTGATCAAAATGGAATTGTTTAATGAATACAAAACATCGTATTCAGTTGGAATATCGAAATCAAAAATGGATGTGTTGCAAATCATTAATGAATCACAAACGATCCAGGATCGAACAACCATCAACGAAAAAATCATCTTGCTTTTGCTTTTTATGTGAAAAAAAGTTGTGTTTTCTCGATGTGTTTATGAATTCATATGTGAAATTTGCTAGAAATTGAAGAACTTTTCATTTCCAGTTCATAAAATGGGCGAAATAACGCATAAACAATTTGATGTTCGTGAACATCAATATTGGTGACAAGCAAGCTTCACTTTTTTTCCACTACGAAGTACACGGGCGCTGCTTGTACGAAATTCCGTTTGTATGAAGCATGTCACGCCGATGGGATAAGCAAAGCTCGGGCACCCACGTATAATGCGAAACATACTACTGCTACATACAATCCGAACAATGATGATAACAATGAAAAAGTGTTGTTGTTATTTATTCATAATAGACATTGGATCGATTTTGAACTGTATATATCTGTTCCCCTCTCTTCGAAAAGTGTACGAAGATAGCAGCAAACGATTGATTAATAATCAACGTGGGTATATAAGGGGATGTTATTGCAGCACAAAGTCATACAGCGACTGGTTGCGACCAAGTAAAGAAGTACATAGATCACCTTCCACAGTAAAATGTCTCGAATGCTGATGTCTTCTGGTTGCAACTGAGAGTACCAGCTGCAGAATTAAAAAATTCAGAGTGGGAGTTCAGCTGTATCCTTTGATCAATCAATCGTGTTGTTAGAAAATTTACAAATGCATATTGTGTGTGTGTGTGAGTGTTGTTAAAATTCAATCAATTTTTTTTCGTGATGGATTATGTGTGTGTGTAGTTCTAATCTGTTTTAGTTTTTTTTTCTAAAAATAAATGTGACTTGAATTCGTTATCATCATTCGAAATGAAGATGCTAGCACAACAACAACGGCACAAATAATGGCCACAATTGAGAAAACAGACATTCTACCATGTTTCCACTACATTTACAAAATCTATACTTAACATTGAAAACCGCTGAAAATGATTTGTACACAATCGAAAGTAATCGTCACAGGCAAACGAATGCAAATTCACCTACTCTTTGCTGAGAATGGAGATGAAAGTTTTTCTATTTTTTCTTATATTTTCCTTAACAATTTTTGCGCCTAAACATTTCCAAACACCCAAGTTGGGCAACAAATGCACACACACAAAATAAATACCACTTCATTTACAGCTATAGAATATTTGACGTCTTACGCATTCTGTACAACTAACACGCGTCGCGCATCTCAGGTGCTTGACAGATTAGTGACGGCTAAATTACACAGATTCAATAGAATCGACGCGTGTTAGTTGAACAGAATCCGTAAAGTTTCAAATATTCTATAATTGCTGTAAATGTAGTGACATCCAATGTCTGTGTCTTAGCAGCACATTTTTTATACCAATTAACCATATTTGTTTGACAATTTCTAAAGCATTACGCTTACAACGTTGGGCTGGAACGAGTGCTTTGGCAAATCCAAGGAAACTAAATTGAAAGTTCATTTTATATTTATTTCATATTTACAATCATTTACAATCAGTTTATTAAAAGTATTTGAATCGATCGCTAATTGGTCCATATTTGAAAACGGTAAGTAAGAAATGTAAAAGCAGAACTCATTCTAAAATATTGAGACAAAATGTCAATTTTGTGTATCAGAATATGTCAATAATAACACGTTGGGAATATAAATGCACGTGTTTTTCTGCATTATTTTTGTCCAGTTTCAGTGAAAATTGAAAATTATTCAGATATTTTGGCGTTTCAGACATTTCAAGAACCTCAAAAGCAAACAACCTAAGAACTCTGAACGTCAATTGTGTATTCGAATATTTTATATTCTCAAACATTATATATTTGATATGCACATTTTGGGCACATTGACCCCCTTAATATTGGTGAAGCCGTTATGCTACAATAATAGCACTTCTGTTTTCTTAGCTCCATATTTCGAGCACAGGTTTTTTTCTGAACCAGGTCATTCATACATACGATTTCATTAGTTTAATCAGCACGTTTAGTTTTCGTTTGTATACGAAATTCGATCGATGTCAGCTCATCAATCAGATAGATGATATCGATCAAATAGGATAGGTTCTCCAGAGATTATTCAAAGGAAATTTTTGCCTGTGAATTAATTACGACCCATTTCCCAAATCCAACTTTGATTTTTTAAAACAGATTCAAAGTTATTTTTTTCAAGTAGTTTAAGTGTTTTATTTGAAATAATACCATTAGTGAAAAGTAGACAGTCAGTTTATGGTTTGAATCTAATCGTTTCTGTTTAACTTTCTTCCTTGTATATTCAAAATAGTTTACGATGCATTTTTCAAAACTATTTTCGTTACGAGTGTATTACTTGACATTGACTATTGGAATATTGGTGCTTTACACACTATCAGTGACCCTCTATAAGACGTATAAGTATAAACAGATGATATTGAAAAGAAAAGCTTGCTATCAGTTTCCTAACAAAGACGATGCAAATGTGGACATTTTGGATGACATATTGAATGCAAAAGTGAAACCAGTCGAAGGAAGATCCATATTCTTTCTGATGACATCGTGTTCTAAGAAAGGCGTAATTCATTTGACCAAAAGGTACTAAGCCTCTAAATTAAATGCATTCTACTGTTTTCTCATTGAATAATTCTCTATTTCATAGTCAAGCTTGTGCCATTGAATCGGCTGCATTCCATAATCCGAATCGAAATGTCTTCGTCCTGTTTGCATCGCCAGTCAATACGCCGACATACTCACAATCCAAACATCTTGCTGTTCTGCGATCAAATTTTACAAATATTTACTTTTTGAATATGAACCTTGAAACACTGGTCGTAGGAACCGCAGTGGAAGACTTTTACCAAAGCGATAAGCTCTTTACATCCAAATTTTTAGTTGAGCACATGTCCGATTTCGTAAGATTGTTAGTGTTGAGTAAATATGGTGGCATTTATCTAGACACGGACTGTATTGTGCAAAAGAACTTGGATGAATTGCCTGCAAACTTCTTGGCCAAAGAGGCTCATCATGGATATACAATAAATAGTGTGAATGGAGCAGTTCTCGGCTTTCAAGACTCGGTGGGGCATGAGATACTGCAATTTTGTTTTGAGTAGGTTTTCCAAGATTTGCGGGTTTCTTTAATAATCAAATGCCGTTAATATTGTTTTCTTCAATTATTATTTTCAAGAGATATGATGGAAAATTTCAACCCAACTGTATGGAATCAAAATGGACCTGCCCTGCTGACGCGCGTATTAGAAAGTAAAGTTTGCCACACAAGCTTAGCGGAAATGACGCCGGAAAAATGCCGTGGATTTGAAGTGTTTCCGCCAGAGGAATTTTATGCCGTCAATTGGGATAATTGGCAATATTTTATTAATCCGCAATTCACTAACACTGTCCTTCAGAAAACCGCCAGGTCATCGGTTATACATTTGTGGAACCACACTTGGCGTAATAAAGCTATCAAAAAATCCGTGTCAGAAAAAACGGCGTATGAAGCCCTCGCTGAGAAGAATTGTCCAAAAGTTTACGAAGTATCTGGAGACCATCTTTAATGTATTTTTGTGTGATTTTTTCTCTTTTGAAGAATTGTTTTCATTATCGTGGATTATCAAAATGACAAAAATAAAAAAATTCAGAGTTTAGAATGCGTTTTTTCGTATTTTTGTCTATATCAATCCATTGGTAGACATATTGATAATTACAATGTCTAAGAAATTTATCTTCTACCAAACACAATGGCATAATCACACCGATAGCAACGGTATACCAAAAGTGAGTTATTTGCATGCAAAAACTCACAATCGACACAATTTATTTCAAATATTTACATATTTAACAGATGATCAAACATCATAACATGGTAACACAGATTTTCCAAAAAAGAATGAAAAATAATTGAAGCTTTATTACGAGTGCATCATTTGTTCAGTTCATCATTTTATTTTGAGCAAAGCGACATAATCATGAACAAGAGGGTATGTCCAATTAAAAATTTTACTTTCATTTATCAATATGACATATTTTGAATTCTCAATATTTTTTGTTTAATTTTAACTGTGAAGTATCTTGCGAAGTGTTTGCTGATTGCTGTGCTATTCTTGGTTATTTTAATCGTTTTGGTTCAATTTTCGAGCCATTCTTCGCTGAGGAAGCCAGAAAAAAATGATGAAATGGAAGATTTGAAAAAGGATTCAAATCATGTGTTCAATATAGCCGATCTCAAGTATTTAATTTCGAAACCAAAGTGTAGTCAAGGCAGTTCATCTCCACATTTTATTACATTGATACATACATCACCGGTAAAATTCGAAAGGCGAATTGCTAGTCGTGATACGTGGGCACACTCTGATCTTAGAACAAAAACCTTCTTTTTAATGGGCATGACCAATTCTTCTATAATCCAAAGGAGAATCGACAAAGAAGATGCAGAGTATAATGATATCATTCAAGGTAATTTCATGGATTCGTATCGCAATATGACGTTCAAGCACATAATGGCCTTGAAATGGTTTTCGGAAAATTGTCCACATGTTAAGTATCTGTTGAAACTGGACGATGACGTCTTTCCAAATATTCCGGCAATCGATCAATATTTGATGAGCGATACACACAACATAAACTTTATACATGGTGTCAAAGCTGGACGTACAGTATTTCGCAAGGGAAGATGGAAAGTAACACCTGAAGAATTTACCGGCGATCTCTATCCCGAATTTGTAGAAGGATCAGCGGTTATTTATCCAAACACTTTCGTGCTGGAGGCGTTTGAAAAGGCGTTCATAACACCGTATTTCTGGATTGATGATGTTTATGTATCCGGAATACTTAGGATGCAACTGAGTTTTGAAATCAAATCGATATACCATCTTAAATTGGATACAAATTTTCTGAATATGATCGGAAACGGCACCGTTACAACTTTACCATATCCAATGTTTCTCATTACTCAACACGATCGAAAATATGTAGATGTGCTTAGACTCTGGGAGATAACAGAACCATATAGAAAAGCCCATCGGCTACGGAAAATGTCTTATTTGAACACATTTAAAAGTGTTTTCGTTTGAAAGAAAATAAATGTGCATTTCTCAAACATTTCCAAAATGAATAATTCATTGCTCTGACGACTGTGTACTCAAATGATGAACAACAATAAATGTACAGCGGACCGTATTGGGATCAAAAGATTTGTTCACAAACAAAACTGTTCAAAATGAAATGCACCATCCTCATTGTAATTCTTGCACAATACACAGTCTTCCGGCAGTATAACGAGGAAATGAATGAAAAATAGCCATCATAGCAAAGTATTATTTATAATCCATAAGACTAGTTTTTAAGGGCATTTACGTACGTAATGTTATAACATTTGCTAATGGAAATATTTAGATTAGACCGATAATAAAGAGTGAATAGAAGAAAATATGAACAGCACATTTCTCACATAGTCGCATTAAAACACAAACATTCCAATGCCTGCTAGCAACGAACGAGTGCGCCGCGGTAGTCACAACTGTAAACACTGTGACCGAATGTAGGAGTTCGTGTGTTATTTTTAGTTCAACTTCTTACTATATGCGGTGCTGGTGTCAAGTGTCAAAAAATTATTCGTCCGGCTAACAGGCATTGAAACATTCGCAATGCTTCCATAAGAAATCAATGTAAAAATCGAAAATCCAGTGACATTCGAATGCCATGCGAATATTTACACTTCTAAGGAGAATTCGGGCGAAATAGAAGGTAAAATGAAAGAATTCACATAGATTTTTTCAAAGAGAAAGCATTAGAAATATTGATGCTTATTTGAATATTGATAAAATCAGTCGTAGTTTGCCACTCACACGGAGCACACGCAATTAATATTATTTCTCGTACACGTGCCTTGTCACAATTTAATTCAAATGTTTGCTTGAGAACAGATTGATTAAACATTGCGTCTTTCATGTTTCTGTATCCAATTTGTTTTTGCTGTGGATTGAGATGAGACGTAATAATAAAATTTCGCATTGATGAAAAACAAACATGCCATGATAACACCGATTTTCACAAAAAGAATAAAAAATAATTGAAACTTTATTACGAACGCATCATTTGTTCAGTTCATCATTTAATTTGGAGTAAAGCGACATAATCATGAAGGAAAAGGTAGGTCGAGTATATTTTTTCTCTTAAATTTAAATCAATATGATATTTCTTCTTCTGAATTTTCAAACTTTTCTATAAATTTAACTGTACTTCAAGTCCCTAGCGAGATTTTTGCTGATCACTGCGGTACTCTTGGGTATTTTAATAGTTTGGATGCAATTATCAAAATATTCTTCGCTGAAAATTCCAAAAAAAATTTATATCATGAAAGATGTGAAGGAAGATTCAAGTCACGTGTTTAATGTGCCCGAGTTCAAGTTTTTGATTTCGAAACCGAAATGTGATCAAGACGGTGCATCTCCACATTTTGTTACATTGGTGCATACATCACCGACGAGATTCGAAAGGCGAATTGCTAGTCGTGACACGTGGGCACACTCTGATCCCAGGATAAAAACCTACTATCTAATGGGCATGGTCAACTCTCCCATCCTTCAAAAGAGAATCGAGGAAGAAGAAGCAGAGTTCAATGATATCATTCAAGGTAACTTCGTGGATTCGTATCGCAATATGACGTACAAGCACATAATGGCCTTGAAATGGTTTTCGGAAAACTGTCCACATGTCAAGTATCTGTTGAAATTGGACGATGACGTCTTTCCAAATATTCCGGCAATCGATCACTATTTGGCGAACGATAAATACAGCATGAACTATATACACGGTGTTAAAGCTGGACGTAAAGTTTATCGGCGGGGAAAATGGAAAATAGCACCTGAAGAATTTAACGGCGATCTCTATCCCGAATTTGTAGAAGGATCAGCAGTTATTTATCCCAACACTTTCGTGCTGGAGGCGTTTGAAAAGACATTCATCACACCCTATTTCTGGATTGATGATGTTTATGTATCCGGAATACTTCGGATGCAACTGAGTTTCGAAATCAAATCTATATCCCAATTTAAATTGAATACCGCCATCCTAGACATGATCGCAAACGGCACCGTTACAACTTTACCATATCCAATGTTTCTTATTACTCAACATAATCGACAATACGATGATGTGCTTAAACTCTGGGATATGACCGAATCATATAGACACGCGCATCGACCACGTGAAATGTCTTATATTGAAAGATTGAAAGATGTTTTAGTTTAAAAGAAAATAAATGTATGTTTGTCAACATTTCCACAACAACATTTGTTTATTCTCAATGGGAACACAATATGAATAGTGAACAATTGAATGCATACAAGCGATTTGCATGGGTTTGATTCTATCCATGATGTAAATTGCAAACCATAACAAACACTGCATCGACCCTTACGAGAAATGAAATCTTTCGTCCCCAACGTTTCCCCTTTTCTCTTATCATTATAGAGCAAATTACCGTATGGCGAGAAAATTCGGGGTTGAACGAAAATCGTCCAAAAAAATCAACAAAATTAAAATATATGCATATTGGGTACAACGACTTATGAATATCGGTGAAACCGTTATGCTACTTACTCGTAGAAAGTCTGACACATTTTTCTTAACTCAACAATTCGGGTCAATTTTTTGAACCAGGTCAACTAAATATAACACAGAACAAATATAAATAGATATTTTTGTGTTTGATTTCGAACAGCAAATTTTTAAATAAAAAATTCGTCATATTTTTTATTGTATTTTCTTCTTTCACTCCGAGATCGAATCTATAAAGTTGTGTCTTTGTTATAACCACAAGGTTGCTGCAATTCACAGACAAATGGAAGATAAACTTTGAACCACATAAAGTTACTTAATTCAGTCCAATCCACTAGAAAGACAAAACGCATTTATTTTTAACCTGTTCGTGATCAAAATGCATATAAAAGTCGTAAGAATGCATAAATGTCTGAATTGTTGACGTTTCTATACATTTTGACCACGAAAAGATTAAAATGAATGTGGACTTTCTCGTGAACTTTTTTGACCAGAAAAAACGCCATCTAACGTCGTGCCCGTAAAATATTTTAGTGTACATTTAGATGGTAGAGCTTGAACAAAAGTTTGACACCATGCATAAACTTGGAAAGAGATTAATAAACTTGATGAAATACATATATTTTATGGTCGTTGCTATACCCCTATGGTCAAATCATTTTTAAAAAAAATTAAAGCTTTTTATCATTGATGGGTTTGAAATGAGTTATCCGTTTTAGAAAAACAGACAATTTACTTTTGAAAACAGTTGAAGCACTATTTCCAAGGCCCACTCGCTATTTTATATAATGAATATGAGTTGCTATTCAATTCAATTTTCTTTGATGCCAAACGAATAAGAGAAAAATAGATGAATATCAAGTACATGTTGGATTCAATTAATTTGAAGTGTTTGCTCAACAACAGATAATTGAACCCGTGAGCATGAAAACGAATTACAAAAAAAATCGCCGATCAAAACGTAACATAGATTTGTCGGCGTAAGGTACCAGTGTACAATTTGTTCCGAATTGAACGAGTAACGTTCGGCGACGTTTTTATAAGTCGTTTTTATGCGCACGGGTTCAATAACACATTACGTCTTTCGTTTTTTGTATACATAGAGATGTATAAACAATACTTCGCATAGACGCGAAACAAACAAGTACGACATGCCATAATAACACGGATTTGTCCAAAACGAACGAGACATATGTTTACACATCGACATTGTGCTGTATAAATTGACGCTTTATTAAGTACGCATTTTTTTCATTTCATCATTTTATTCTAAACCAAGCGATATAACGATGAAGACGAAGGTAGACCGAATGCCATTTTTCACTTTCATTTATCAATATGACATATTTTTAATTCCCAATATTGTTTTGTGTAATTTGAACCGTGCTTGCAGTCACTTGCAAAATCGTTACTGATCACTGCGATATTCTTGGGTGCTCTAATAGTTTGGGTTCAATTTTCGAGCTATTCTTCGCTGAAAGACGTGAAAGATGGTTCACATAGTGTGTTCGATGTGCCCGAGTTCAAGTATTTAATTTCGAAACCAGAATGTAGTCGGGACAGTTCAACCCCGTATTTTGTTACATTAGTGCTTTCAAAGCCGTCGAGATTCGAAAGGCGAATTGCTAGTCGTGACACGTGGGCACACTCTGATCCTAGGACGAAAACCTATTTCCTAATGGGTATGGTTGAGTCTCCCATACTTAAAAAACGAATCATCGTAGAAGAAGCAAAGTTTAAGGATATCATTCAAGGTAATTTCGTGGATTCATATCGTAATAAGACGTACAAGCACACAATGGCCTTGAAATGGTTTTCGGAAAATTGTCCACATGTCAAGTATCTGTTGAAACTGGACGATGACGTCTTTCCAAATATTCCGGCAATCCATCAATATTTGGTAAGCAGTGCACAATACGGAGCGTATATACATGGCATCAAAGGGAATCGTACAGTTGTTCGTGAGGGAAAACGGAAAATTAAACCAGAAGAATTTAACCATGATCAATTTCCTGAATATGTAGACGGTTCAGCGGCTATTTATCCGAGCACTTTTGTACGGGAGGCACTCAAAAAAACACTCACGACTCCATTTTTCTGGATGGATGATGTTTACATATCCGGAATAATTCGGAAGAAGCTCAATGCTAAAATCATATCAATATCCCATTTAAAATTGACAACCAACACCCTGTACAAGATCGGCAACGGCACACTCACAACTTTACCACGTCCAATGTTTCTTGTTACTCAACATAAACGCAAATACGAAGATGCGCTTAAACTCTGGGAAATGACCGAATCTTATAGACACGCGCATAATATTTATTTGAAAACATGAAAATTATTCAAATTTAAACGAAAATAAATGAATGCTTCTCAACAATTTCAAAAACACGTTTATTTATTTTCAATAAGAACTCGCAAATGAAGCGAATTATTTGTGTTGTATGTGAATTGTGGACAATTATCTTCATGAACTCCTGCTAAGTCTAATCCACAGGGAGTTAGCAGGATGTACGTTATAAGGTTTTGAACTTTCATCGAAAGAGATGGTGAATACAAGTTGTTTATATCCATCTCTCTTCCTCCTCGAAATCGAAGTCAAAAACCATATAACGGACGTCTTACTAACTCCCTGCGGTCTAATCTGAAAAAAATGTTCAAACCATGGCAAATTCTGCATCGATCCTACATCGTTCGTTCGTTAAAAAAATTAACGAAAACGAACGAATTTTCGTATATGGTATGGGTGGCGAGCGCGAACGAAAACGAAAGTTGAATTTTTTTAGCGAACGAAAACGAAAGCCGAATCGGCCATTCGTTTACACCTTTAGTGGAGAGAACGGCACGTTGACTGTTTGCATTTCATTCACACGCTGCTATATGAATGTAGCAATCGCCTGCAAACGAGTAAGAACAGAAATAATGTTCAATCGTCATGCGCTTGTTGGTGTGTGTTTGTAGGTGTTTGTTTTTCGCTTGATTAGCGTACACAAATGTCAGTCAGCATAGATGTTGAACGTTTAATAGAAGTTTCTATACATATAAACGAAGAATAGCATGGATGGACATGAAATTGGATGTATTGGTGCGCAAATTTGACAGAACACTCAGTTTAAATCTTCTTACTTCCATACTACTTCAAAATTACTTTCTATTACCTAACCTTTTTACTAAATTATTACTTTTTAGGGATTTGCCCCTCGCAGTTTTCTCTTTTCCTATATCTTAATCGTACGAAACACTGGAGAAAAATATAAATATTTGTTCAAAAAAATAAATATACTTTTATTCGGCGCATTTCGAGCACATTGACCACAGAATATTGGTGACACCGTTATAGTTAAATTAAAACACATTTGTTTCATTTTATTTGGATATTTCGTGCACCGTTTTTTAAACCAGATTGTGAGGATAACCTTTTTTGCCTACACAAATATCATTTTGTTTTCATTTAAAAATATTCTCTTTGCCTATGTGAATACATTTTTGAGTTGGAAAATACATAATTACAATCTGAATTTTTTGGAGCTTCGTAGATCGCACTGATAAGAAACACTTACTGATCCTAATTGAAAAACGATCAAATCATTTCGATAAAATCGTTTACTAATCAGATAGTCATCGACTAAATAGGATATTTGGAGTAGTTTTTCAGGGATAAAAACAAATTTCATAAAATTGATTTGAAATTGGCTTATTTTGGTGGCACTTTAGCATTTTCACAAGTAATTCAAGCATTTGATTTCCGATAATCACTAGTAAAGTAGAAAAATATTAAAACGTAAACTAAAAAATGAAATAGTAATTGGTCATTTAAATGCGATGTGATTTGCTCAAACATTTCATCTTTCAAAAAATATTCAAATTCAGTGTTAGAGAGTAAATAAAACACAGACCAAAAAATACTGTGTGCCATTTTATGCTAGTGATACGAAACTAGTGAAACAATACGAATTTTGATCAACATTTGATAGGATCGTTCATTGATCAGATAGATATTATCAACTAAATAGGGTAATAGGTGATCAGTAGAGGTTCAAACATATAATAATGTTCTTTCTTTGTAAACTTATCGTTTAACCTTTAACGAATTACTTATTTCCAGAATATTCACGATGCGCTTCTCAAACAGGATATTTTCGATGCGCTTTTCAAAAATAGGAAAGTGTTATTGGACATTAATTTTCGCTTCACTGATGATTTACACACTATCAATGACTATTTTTAATGCTCAATCCGATCACCGCAAGCAATCCAATCAATTCAATGAACCCGAGCAATCTAAACAATTCGATCAGTCCGTTCCCAAGAGTAAATCGAAAAGAAGTGTTCAGTCCGTTGATAAGTTAAGACCGAAAAGGAGTGATTGTTATCAATATTCGAACCGTCCGCTTAACACATATATTGACGTTTTAAATGATATATCAAACCCAGAAGTAGAACCAGAAAATGGAACGTCCATATTCTTTTTGATGACATCTTGTTCCAAGAATGGCATAATTAATTTGTCCACGAGGTACATAGCTCGCTAATTTTGTGCATTTTTCACGGGTTTCATCATTTTCAAATCATTCTCTATTTTGTAGTCAAGCTTGTGCAATTGAATCGGCTGCTTATCATAATCCAAATCGAACCGTTTTTGTTCTATTTGCATCAACTGTTGGATTTCCTGCAGAAATGCAACCAGCAACACTTGCCGTTCTGCGATCAAATTTCACAAATATCCATTTTCTGAATGTGAACATTGACACATTCGTTGAAGGAACACCGGTGCAAAAGTTTTACCACAGCGGAAAGCTCTTTACATCCAAATATTTGATTGAGCACATGTCTGATTTCTTAAGATTTCTAGTCTTGTATAAATATGGCGGCATTTACCTTGATACCGATGTTATTGTGCAGAAAAACTTCGATAATTTACCGGACAACTTCTTGGGAAAAGAGGCTCATCATGGATATAGAATTGATAGTGTAAATAACGCAGTGCTAGGCTTTAATGGCACCATCGGACACGAAATATTGGAGCTATGCCTTAAGTGTGTATTTATGCTTTTTTCCAGGGATTTCTTTTTTCTACCAAACTATTCCATAATTTTCATTCATTTTCATATTTCAGGGAAGTAATAACCAGCTATAACCCAGACGAATATACTTATAATGGCCCGAAATTACTAACACGCATTTTGGAGAATAAAATTTGCCACACGAGCTTGGCGGAGATGACGCCGAAAAAGTGTGGCGGAATGAAAGTTTTTCCACCAGAAGAATTTTATGCCATCAACTCAGAAGATTGGTCACATTTTATTGATACCAATTTCACGGAGTCTGTTCTTGATGCAACTGAAAATTCATCGATCGTTCACTTGTATAATCACCATTGGCGCGATAAAATTATCAAAAAATCGAAATCCAATACAAGGACGGCTTATGAAGCCATCGCTGGGAGGAATTGCCCAATAGTTTTCGAAGCATCCGGAGAGAATATTTAAGCGTTTTCCGTTAAGATTTTCTGCGAAATATATTCTACGAAATATTTTCTACTGAAACAAGTGACCTTACGTCTTTAATCCTCATCTTTATTTCATTATTATACCTAACATCTAGCATTTAATAAACACAATTCATGTGTTTAGTAATAACAGAATAAAACGTTGTGATAAATTTTTCGTTGTTTCCTTCGAAATGATTTTCGTTGTTTCCTTCGAAATTGTTTGTTGTTGATAATGATAACTAAAATGAAATCATTTTCTGATAAAACTAACGGAAATGTTTCTTTTGACGCTGTAGAATTGAAGAAGGAAATGATTAAAGCGTGACTCAACAGAGAACTGTGGAATAGACGAAATTGATGATATGATGAATATGAGACGCACGTAAGCAAGTATCACACGATAATATCGCCATATCTGCCTCATGCGACATAGAAAAGATGCGCTCTGGACACATTGAACAATTTTGTGAGTAACTGTATGTTTAATTATATATTTCAATGGCAATGAGACAACTCAGTAAAATATACTGTAACAAACACAATCTGTTTTTTAGGATGTTTTTTGGGTTTTTAGGACATTTTTAGGTTTCTTAGGACGTTTTTCGTTTCACCCTAACTATATATGTTTAGATCCATTGATTGGAAAAATTCTCCATTGTTTTTAGATTGTTTTAGATCCTGTCGTGTTTTTATAAAAAAAAAATAAAAGAAAGCATAATAGTCTCCTTCTTCAGAAACTCCCTTACTTTAACTAGTATGTCACACGGTGGCAGCAAAGCAATATACTACAGGCGACACCTTGTTGCACGGCATAGTAATGTGTTGAAAATATATTGTATATGATTGACAGCAAATGTCAAGTGTATACCAACATACAGGGCATTACTATCCTCTCCGACAAGATGTCGTTAGTGGTATATGCTCTTTCTGCCACCGTGTGTAGTAAGTATCACTAATGAAAAAACCGGACCAACTTTCACCTTGGAATTACTAAAATGACTCAGTAAACCAAATGAAATGCAAAAAAGGAAATCAACAAAAGCAGGATTAACGATTATTATTTGTTTTATTCTTCTGATTTATTTTTAAGCATTTCACAAATCAAAAATGGCATAATTGAAAAAAAAATTCGATTGAAATAACAAAATAGATTGTTCTTATTTTTATGACAAAAGAAAGTAAAAATCGTGATAAATTGTATTTCACAACATTAATTCATTGTCCAAAACCTTGGAACCGGCGGACAGTCTTTAGCAGAAATATAGTTACTATTTATACCCGCTTCCCATCCATTATCACATCATGTGATATATTTCGTATAGCAAAAAATCAAGTATGAACATTGAACACTGAACACTGTACACAGTAAAAAATAAAAGTCCACACTTAGGCGGATTTTCGACTGGTAGAGGCGCCCAGTCTTATATTTTGCCTAGTAAATTGAGTTTCAGACGAAAAACCGACTAGATTATAAGCGGAATTTCGCCTGCAGCTCAAATTACTAGCAGCAATATCGGCTGAATGCGTTTTTAGCTGAAAAAACGGCTAGATGTGGACTTTTATTTTTTACTGTGTATCAGTAAAGTGATTTCTTGCTAAATTTAATATGAATATTAATAAGATAAATTCTGTTACATTCCGAATATAACGGAAATGTAAATGCTGATTTCAATTCGAACCATTCCTCTATTTTCGTTGGCATGCCAGCTGTGATGATAACAATTGTGCGTATTCTTGGATTGTTATCAATACAACGAAATCCAGAGATAGCAGGCCCAACATTTCCATTACATAAAACCACTGTGTTTGTTGTGATAATAAAATGCGTTGCCACTGATAAGCCCCAGCAAGCGTTTGCGTCGATCATTTTAAATTGAATTGATGCATTTATCAACAAAAATTCCGGGAAAATATTCAAAAACACACAGAAATATGTTTAAGCTGTTAATGCACGACAATTTGAGTTCGCTTAAGTTACGTGTTTGAAATTCGACAAAATATGTTGAACATGAACTGTTCCCTAGACTTTCAACTAAGCAGAGGAGTATAACAACCAACGAAACGTCCAAACTTTTCAAAACCTGTGAACTGTCAATAAATTTATACGATTTTTTTTATCATTGTGTGATAAGATAGACCATCAACAAACGGCCTTTTTCCAATGATTACCTTTCCCCAGGTGTATGAGTAAAAAGCAAATCTAGGATTTCTCTGGCAGCAAACAATTTGCGGCCGATTTAAAACAGACTTGTTCGAACTGTCTGATAGTGCTAACGTGTTTGACAAGAATTGTGAGCTTTCAATTCAATGTGATTGGTTATAAATACTACGAATAAAATCTGGGTGATCAAAATCAATTATTTAATCTAATCTTTTCCAACACTTTTTACCAAGTGACAAGAAATATTCACATTTATTTACAGTTTTGTTTCCATTGTTCGGGGATCAAAAAAATGAAATGTGCTTTGTGATGATTGTTTCTCCATATTAACCTTCAAACCGTAAAATGTATTATATTTTCTAACGTTGTTCGTAGAATCGGTGCCTGAATGCCCATAATGCAATTTATATGGGAAATGTCATTTTTTTCTAAAAATTTCATTTTTAAATGTGAATATTTCAGTATTTATTGATCGGAAAAGTATGAAAATTACTTTGGAAAATGATAAAAGTCATAAAAAATCGAAATACGAATAACAACAGCAAGTTTTTTGGAATTTTTTCAATAAAGTGGAGATTGCAATGTTGATCTCTTCATAAAAATGAAGGCAAAAACGTATACCATCAAATTCCACTATGGCCGATTTTGACGTCAAAAATTGATATTTTGAACGGCAGGTTGGATCAAAAAGTTATGCATATCACTAGAAAGGTCTTGAAAAGTAGATGTCATTTTTGGTATAAAACTTCAAAATAGGCCAGCATTTGGCCAATATATTTGGCCGTTGGAATTTGTTTGGCCAAAATTGATAAAATGGCCATATTTTGATAAAATGATGATCGATTTTAATGTTTTATAACTCAAATTACATGTACTGTTCAAGATCTTTCCAATGATGTATATTTCATTAATTTTTATACGCAATTTGTCGAAAAATGTATATGGGCACTCAGGCACCCATTTTACGTATAGCATATCACACAAATGTTTATGCACATATGTGGTAAGCTAGTGCGCGTATGTGGGTATGTTAACGCAATTTTTGTAGCCAAATGTTCAACGAATCGAACCACACAGTGCCCAATTTACGGTTTGAAGGTTAAATTTTAACTCATTCGATTTTATTTTCAAATTAGTTCAAATGAAGTATTCAAAATTATTTTCGCTTCGAGTGTTTTATTTGACATTGATAATAAGCACAATAGTGCTGTACACAGTGTCGGTGACTGTTTTTGATGCGAAGACTGTTATTATTGCTGATCCCGTTTCTACTTCGAAGCCTGTTGTTGATGTTGAGCCCGTTTTTAAAGCTAAAACCGACCAGAAGATAGAAGTGAATGGAACAGATTGTCTTCAATCTACCAACAATCCTAATAATGATGGACATGATGGGATTTTGGATGATATTTCGAATTCAACAGTGAAACCAGTCCATGGAAGATCAATATTCTTTCTTATGACAAAGAATTCCGGAAAAGATGTATCTCTGTTGGCAGGGTACTAGGCTCGCTAATTTTAATGCATTTGTTTCTGTTTTCTCATTTTTTAATAACTCTTTTATTTTCCAGTCAATCTTGTGCCATTGAATCGGCTGCTTTTCGTCATCCGAATCGAAATGTCTTCGTCCTATTTGCATCGCCTGTTAAATTTGCCACAGAGACGCAGTCAGCAACACTTGCTGTTCTACGTTCGTACACAAATATACATTTTATGAATATGAACCTGGACACATTTGTTAAAGGCACACCAGCGGAGGACTTTTATCGAAGTGGAAGGATCTTTTCTTCTACTCATTTGGTTGAACACATGTCCGATTTCTTGAGACTTTTGGTCCTGTATAAATATGGTGGTATTTATCTTGATACGGATGCTATTGTCCAAAAGAACATGGATGGATTGCCCGCGAACTTCTTGGGAAAAGAAGCGTATGCAGGAACGAAAATCAATGGCATCAACGGAGCGGTGATTGGTTTCCAAGATCAAGATGGTCACGAAATACTGGAGCTATGTCTGAAGTATGTTTGCCTAATTTGCTTTTACAAACACATTTTTTTTTAAATATTCAAAGAGGTGTCATAACTTTTTTCATTTGATTTTGAAGCGATTTGATAACAAACTTCAACTCAACTGGATGGAATCAAAATGGGCCTGCTCTCCTTACACGGGTGTTAGTAAATAAAGTTTGCCACACGAGCTTAGCAGAAATGACTCCAGAAAAGTGTCGTGGATTGAAAGTGTTCCCACCGGAGGAATTTTATGCGATAAATTACGACGATTGGCCATACTTTCTCGATGTACGTCACACTGAATTTGTCCTTGAAGCGACTAGCAATTCATCGGTCGTCCACTTATGGAATCACTTTTGGCGAAAAAAAATGATCACAAAATCCAAATCTAAATTAAGAACTGCATATGAAGCCATCGCCGAAAAAGATTGCCCGAAAGTATTCATCACATCTGGTGATTATTTCTAATAATCAATCAAAATGAGCAGAAAAAATATCATATTGATAGACGTATCTCGCTGCTTGTTATATTCAGTCTGTGATTAGAAAATGAAATCAATAAATAAATTGCGACGAATAAGATCTATCGAATAAGTGTAGTAAAATTATCACAAACACCGAATCGAATCATTTTCTGAAAGCATCTATAGATTCTATAGAACGTTGCTAATGATGCTATAATTAGATTGAATAAGATGACAATAATTTGAAAATGTATATAAGTACTATGTATGGTATCTCTTTCAAAAATGTTATTTTTAGAAGAATCATCAAACATTTTCAGTCCATCTGAAAATTATCAGTCATAATAAATAGAATTTTACAAAATATTCATTTTTCTCTTTAAATACGACTTCCATGCAGTTACATCAATGAAATATCATTTTATAAAGAATGAAATCAATTTCATAATTTCAGCAAAAACCATAGTTGTGTGTTTTCATAGTAGTTTAATTGCCTTCAATACATGAAATGAAAAATGAAAATCCATTAGAGAAACAGTGAATTGTGTGCATGCGAATGACGTTAAATGGTTTGGAAGTAATCATTGTGCATTTAAATACACAGAAAACCATAGAATTGCGTTAGCTATCTATGTGATCGCCTTTTCACACAAATCGCTGTTTTTCTGGAATATTTAGTTTCAAAGATTCTGGGTCCAATATTGGATATTTATGCGGCAACGGTATGAACAATATTGAAAGCTGCGATTTACTGGTTAATGTAACACTTTAGCAGCAGAAGAGAATGTAAAAACTAAAAACCGGGTTTGGCCTGTGCACATTGCTCCTCCAATATTTCAAGTAGAACGACTTCAACGTTAGAAATACTTTGAAAGAAAATTTTTTTTTTATTATGACTCACATTTTTTAACCTATGGGCGCAGATTAAGAGTGTTGTATGTTTCGCAGACTTTGTATTGGAAAAAGTAGAGAGTATGTTTTCAAACGGTGGACAAATCTTGGAATATTTTATTTATTTCAACAGATATACGATAATTGTCTGTTCCAAAGTTGTAGAATTTGACAAGATCAGCAATTTTTGCTAAGACATCAATTCGATAATATAAGTCGCTAATAAAACATACACTACTATCAATCTCACCTATAGACCTGTTCATATGTTGATATTTGCATAGTTAAAATTCTTACTAATGTTTGTTTATTCCTGCAAGCTTTGGATTAATTGATTCTAATTTAAGAAAATGAAATAATATGTGATAACAAACATGACATTAAATGCACTTTTCTACTAACCCGAAAGTTCAAGTAATTTTAGTTCTTGTTGATAAAATGTAGCTCCATCTTGAACGAGCTTTTTCCAATTATCACATATTTCGAAGATGTTTTTCATCGTTTTCTCGTCTGTATTTCAATTAGAATTTCTTCATTATTTTGTTGAACAAATTGTGAAAAAATTGTTTTGAATGACTTACCATTGTTTTGAAGATATGTTTGAAAATCGCCTTTCAAAACTTCATGCGACCCAAATATTGGTTGTAGCACAGGTTTTGCACCTTGTAGAACGTTGTTCGGAGGTAAAGCGGTGGTGCTAGGTAAAGCGGTGGTGCTAGCTACAGCCAGCAAAAATGCAAAAATAACGAATTTCATTTTACTTGCAATCAAGTGGCTTTTTCGGAAGAGCTTGATAAACTGATGATTGAACTGAAGATTGGCTTTCCTTTTATACAAAACTTACACTTACTGTCCTGAAACGATAATATTTAAATGCAATGAACACTAGTACGAAATAATGCGCATCATTTTCTAACCAATTCTTTTCGATAATTTATTACTGAAACATTTCATGGCTTTTGCAATGATTGCTTTTTTGCTGCTACGAGGTACTAAATATGCTAGTAGCCACTCTTGAAAAAGTAATAACGAAGGGGACAGAGAAATAAAGACAAGCGTTTGGAAAAAAGAACACAAAACGTAGTACCTAGTAGACTAAGTACACAATAATTATATTCTTGACAATGGACACATATTTCTTGAATTTAAAATGCAATTTGTATTCCTCTTGATACATCCACCATTAATATGAAAGAATTATGTGCTCCAAATAGAAATTCATGTGGCGTTTCCATGTTTTTTCCTGGTGACTTTGTCATTTGTTGTTATCTGCATATACCCAGTACTCATATTACAATTTGACCGATGATCGATGTGTATTTTTGCAGAACTTACATCACACTTTTAGTAATTTATCACAACAATACCTCATTGTATTATTGCACGAAAACAATTCTTGGCCTTTGAAATCTTTTGACTCGAATTTATTAAGAAGTGTCATTGTAAATGCTAGAAGTGAACCAAGGATATAAAAATACCGAAGTGTTTTAAAAAATCCTTGGTTATCATCTAGCCTGATCATATCGAAAGATCTAAATCATATTTTATAAAGAATAAATTTCTTTGTGAAAATACATTAAACTAATAATATGTTCTCCAGATGGTTTAAAAACTTTTGGGCAATTCTTCTCATTTGCCGTCCTTGTATTTTATTTCGACTTTTTGTGTTACTACTTAGTCTACTAGGTACCTCATACCCAAGCGCGACTCCACAATTAGCTTCTAAATGTGACACCGTAGTAAGTGTGGGCATACGTTTTGCGAATAAGCGACAAAGAGAATGGAAACAAGTGCGCGTGTGGTAGTGAGTAGCCTGATGCGATGCTTCTCAATCTAGCGACTAATACACGCGCACTTGTTTCCATTCTCTTTGTCGCTTATTCGCAAAACGTATGCCCACACTTACTACGGTGTCACATTTAGAAGCTAAGTGTGGAGTCGCGCTTGGGTACGTTTTCTGTTCTTTTTTTCAAACACTTGTCTTTATTTCTTTGTCTCTATGTTATTACTTTGTCTAGGGTGGCTTCTAGGACATTTGATTCCACGTAGCAACAAAAAATCAATCATTGCAAAAGCCGTGAGATGTTTCAGTAATAAATTATAGAAAAAAAATTGGTTAGAAAATGATGCGCATTCTTTCGTACTAGTGTTCATTGCATTTAAATATTATCGTTTCAGGAAAGTAAGTGTAAGTTTTGTATAAAAGGAAAGCCAATCCTCAGACCAATCATCAGTTTATCAAGCTCTTCCGAAAAAACCACTTGATTGCAAGTAAAATGAAATTCGTTATTTGTGCATTTTTACTGGCTGTAGCTAGCACCACCGCTTCACCTAGCACCACCGCTTTACCTCCGAACAACGTTCTACAAGGTGCAAAACCTGTGCTACAATCAATATTTGGCTCGATTGAATATTTGACAGGTGCTTTTTAAACATATCTTCAAAATAAGTTCTTTCTTATTTGTTCAACAAAATAATGAAGAAATTCTGATTGAAATACAGGCGAAAAACCCACAGACCTTTGCAATAATTTGATACTTCTCGTCAAAGCTGAATCTGCTGTTCTTCAACAACGTCTTGAAGTATTAGACAATTTCGGTTAGTAGAAAGATGCATTTTAATGTCATGGTCGTTACTACATTTAATTAATTTTCTTAAATTAGGTGTAATTAATCCAGAGATTTTAGAACTAACAACGGATTAGTAAGTATTTCAATCATGCAAATATCAACATATAAATATTGGATGGTTATAAAATGTGTGTCATAATGAAATTATGTTTTTTCTTTTAAGTATTTCTGACCTCAAAGCTATTCTACTTAAACTATTAACAAATGCATGTGAACTCGCCAACGCCAATTTTTAGTTTTTGCATTTTCTTCTTCTGCTCAAGTGTTACATCAGCCAGTAAATCGCAGTTGTTAATATTGTTGATACCGTTGCCGCATAAATATCCCATATTGGACCCAGAATCTTTGAAACTAAATATTCCAGAAAAACAGGGATTGGTGTGAAAGGCGAACACATAGATAGCTAACACAATTCTATGGTTTACTGTGTATTCAATTGCACAATAATTACGTTCAAACCATTTAACGTCATTCGCATGCACACAATTTGGATAATGGATTTTTATTATTCATTTCATGTATTGAAGGCAATAAAACTACCCAAAAAATACACAAAAAATATTTGCAAACAAACAACAATTAACATATGAATTTTTAACTGGTATAGTAGTTCACGTAATAATTTGTTGACACAACAATTGTTGGTAAAAATTATTTAAACATACATTTGTATGATCTTTGATCTTCAATTCGATGGGTCCTTAACAATTGTTTGGATATGATTTTTAGCACTACATGGAATGTAGGCTACTGTAGTTGTTTTTCTTTTCCTGAGAAAATTTTAAGAGTCTTTGGGCCATTTTTTCGGACCGTAAATTAATTCATTTTAATTACGGCTAATTGCAAAATCATGTTCATGTAATTCACTTTTGAAACAACTCAAAAAAAAATTTACACTTTTTTCGTTACCAATGTGAAATAATGTACGATGATCATTCACATTGAATGTACATAAAACACATAAGTGGAGAATACGATATCATCATATAAATTTATTTAATTATTTTTGGCAATATTAAAATAATTTGCATTCAAAAAGTATATTACGATTAAAACTACATTCTATGTAGTGCTTACGATAATAATTTGATGAGAAACATCAAATTAATTAAACCCTTTAAATTTACAAGCTTCAAGAACGCAGAGCGGAGCGTCTTGTTTTTTGTCCATTTCAATCCATTTCAAATAGACTTCCTACCAAAATCAGCCATGGTTGTTTTTAAATTGATTAGAATTTTGCCCAGTGAATAAAAAAATTAAAAATAATCTCCAGATGCGATGAATACTTTCGGGAAATCTTTTTTGAGTGGAGCTACAATGGATCTCAATTCGCGTGTTAAAAAAACAAGTTTGCCACACGACAGCTTATCGGAAATGACGCTAGAAAAGTGTCGTTGAAAGTGTTTTCACCGACAGAAAAATAAAATTATCACAAAATCGGAATCAAGAACATGATATAGAGCAATCGCTGAGAAGAATTGCCCACAAAATTGTGTATTCACAGCATCAAGAGATTATTTTCAATCATTTTTTCTCTGGGCAAATTTCTAAATAATTGAAGAAAAAAATCATTTATCAACACAAGAGTACTGGAAAAAGTGTGGAAAAAACACATTGAAGTATATGTTGATCTATTTTTGCCTTGAAAAAAAAAAGGCAATCAAGGCACGAGATTTGAATTTATTATGCTGGAATGAGAATAAACAGCACGTATCATACCACCATGTATTTAGGGTTGGATGTAGAACATTGATAACCAGGGCAACCAAAAATATTTACGAAAAAGTCCAAAATATTTACGAAAATATTTAAAATATTTTTATTAAAAACCATTATATTTCGATAAGAATAAGAAATTTTTGGTGTTTTTTAAGGAAAGTACGTTGATTTAAGACTAATCAAAGGCAAAGCTATTGCAATAAATTACGACATACATTTTAAAATTTTCGAATAAAAACGAACGACGTTGATCTCCCAGAACTTGTTTATACTTCGAAAATGTTCTCTCAACATCACATGAGGTGATTGGTGCATACAGAAAACAACTAAGTTCTTCCGGTGACAGCATATCGATGAAATCATCCTTTCGTGTTGCTTTTCCTTTGTTCAAAATTGTCGCGATTTCCTTCATTTGTAAAAAACCGTTGTTGCGAGCAATGAACCTGTCGAACTTGTTCAAAAATTCAGTCGTACCACGCATTGACTGAAGGCTGGTACGAACTGATTCGACGATTTCGAGAGCAGTGGCAATTTATTTTGCAGCCACTTCAATATCACACATTTTACAGAACACTACTGAGCCATCGGTTTGAAATTCATTTGGATGCTCTTTAACAACTGTTAACAACTATACCAAAGAATATTTGCAAACTTTCTTTCGGCATTTTAAAACTGTTGCAAATGCAGCGTGCGAACAATTCAGAATCAGATCGCCAAACTGAAGTGTCATATTATTACATTTGTGGGAAACCATTTGCACTAAAACAAAAGACCGCGCTGTTTGTTTACATTAGGATTATTTCTTTTCTCACTTTATTTCGTGTTCTACACTACATAGGCGTTGTGTGAACCGGCACGAGTACTGTTGTCGTGCTGTACGACTCGTACACATAGTTCTGTGTGTTATAGTGATCAACAAAGGGTACTAGATTTAAAAATCGATTGCTAAAGTGAAATGTTGTGCACAGAAAGCGGTGACGAATGATGCAAGTTTGCGATGCATTGATTTCGAAGAGAAAAATAATGAAATTATTGACACGCAAAGTCTGAAATGTGATGAAATATTTATGAAATCTCTCAAAAATAGCGAAATATTTATAAATATTTTTTTTCGGCAGATTGGCCGAAATATTAAAAAAAATATTTTATATTTTCGTAAATTTTTGGTTGCCCTCTTGATAACGAATTTTTTATTTCGTCTCCCAATACGACATTCCAAGTGAAATTTCCATGAATATTCAGTTTTGTTTCTTATTTCGACATGATAATATTATGAGTATAAGTGACCCATTCGTGTGATGAAAAAAATATGATTATACATTTTTGATACGAGCTGTTTGTCATTGCGATAGGAGTCATAAAACTCTTGAAGGCAGACTTTGTTTGGCTGTACGTTTGTATTGACGTGTTTTTTGAGTATTTGAACAAACAAATTTGATTATTTTTACTATTCAAAATATTGAAATAAACTCATTTACAAATGGAAATTAGTATTTGACTATGCTTCAAACGGTTTTAAATCAATTGTTCAAATATTCGCCTGAAGTAACCACAAAGTGAAAAATGCATTCTACAAAGTTGTTTGGTCCAAAAATGTATTATTTGGCTGTGATTATTGGTTTGTTGATCATATACACAGTGATGGTGAACAATTTGAATACTATTCATCCGTTGGAACGGAAGATAAAAGCAAAAAGTCCATCAATCACATTAACAAACATTAGCCGGCAACACAAAAACATAAATGAACTTGTACCATTGAACCACACAACTATACTACAAAGGAGGATTTCGAGTTGTTATCAGTTTCCAGACGATTCGAGTGGTAGTCTTTTGGCTGACATTTCGAACGCGAAATTAAAACCCAGCGATAGAAGATCAATATTCTTCCTCATGACATCGTGTTCGTGGAAAGGCAAAATTGCTCTGAAAGCTAGGTAATTCATAAATCTATGGGTGAGATTGAGAGTAGTGTATGTTTGATTGACTTTGTTACGAAAGAGAAGAGCAAGTTTTTGTCGACTTAAAAATGGTTAAAAGCGAGTATGTTCGTTTTTAGCGGGTCCTCGCGGTTTTTCACGGTTTCCGTGGAACTGATAAGAGATAACAACTTGGTGTCTTCGGTAAAGTTGTAGCACTCGAAGTCTTCTATAACATCGCTGAAGACAGTTATCTCTTATCTCTTATCAGTTCCGCGAAAAGCGCGAAAAATGATAAGAAAAAAAAAGTTCTATATAAAATTTGCTTTTTTATGTGCGCGATTTGCGCGCAACTGATAAGAGATAAGAGATAACTGTCTTCAGCTTAGTTATAGAAGACCTCAAGTACTACAACTTTGCCGAAGACTCCATGTTGTTATCTTTTATCAGTTGCGTGAAGACCGCGGAGGCTAGACGGTACTACAACATACTCTACTTTAACGCCAACGGAATCATCAGAAAACATACTCGCCTTTTCAAAAATATAAATCGAAGAAAAAACATACTCCACTCTCAATCTCACTCATAGAAATGAGAGTAAAATTACTCAATTTTCTACACCACTTTAACTTACTTTCGATATTTTTCTATTCATAGACAAGTTTGCGCTGTCGAATCAGCTGCCTATCATAATCCTAATCGGACAATATTCATTCTTTTTGCATCACCTGTTGACTTACTCACGAATACGCAATCAGAAACCCTTGCTGTTTTGCAATCATACAAAAATATTCACATTCAAAATATTAATTTGGACACATTTGTTGAGGGAACATTAGCGGAGGACTTTTATCGCAGTGGCAAGCTATTTGCATCTAAAACTTTGATTGAACACATGTCCGATTTCTTAAGGCTCTTAGTCCTGTACAAATATGGTGGAATTTACCTTGATACCGATGTCGTTGTCCAGAAAAACTTGGATGAATTACCTGCTAATTTTCTCGGGAAAGAGGCGTATGAAGGAAAGAAGGTTGATGGTGTAAATAATGCTGTAATGGGATTTCAAGTTTTTTTTTTCCCATGACACATCTTTAAATCAGACATTATCATTTTATTTATTCCTTTTCAGAGAATTTATATCAACCTTTAAGGCAAACGAATGGAGCTACAATGGTCCGAAATTGCTAACACGAATTTTAGAGAATCGCCTGTGCCATACGAGCTTAGCCGAAATGACGCCGCAAAAGTGTCGTGGATTGAAAGTGTTTCCACCGGAGGAATTCTATGCAATAAATTGGGATAATTGGCCACACTTTCTCGATGTTCGACTCAGCGATGATGTTCTTGAGGCAACTAACAATTCATCGGTCGTCCACTTTTATAACCACTTTTGGCGTGAAAAATTGATCATGAAATCTAAATCTAAATCGCGAACGGCATACGAAACGATCTCTGAGAAAAACTGTCCGAAAGCATTCAAAGCATCTGGAGACTATTTTTGAGTCATTTAAAAAAGAGTCGAACATCTGAAATAATCATTTTTTACAACTATTTTTCATCAATCGTTGAATTTGATTTTGACTAAGAAAATTTCGAACGAATTCCGTGTTTAGTTGTGAGTATCGTCCTGAATAGGAAGCTCAGAAAGATTTAATTTATTCATTTGTGCTGTTGATAATTAAAATGGGAATACAGAAGTCTTTGAACTGAAACGCAACATAAAAATTGGTTTCTTTAAAACGCAACATGAATCATCGCTTCAATAGAAACAATTTGGATTTTGAATGTGCTACGTTTTTAAAAAACAAATTTGCGCTTTAGTTCGAACAGTTCTGTATTGCCACCTTTATTCTAAGCAAAAAATGTTTGTATAGTATTTCAAATTGAAATATACACATTAATAAAGCAAATAAAGCCGCATACTTTAGCCCACACCAATACATTGAGAATCATTTGCTATGTAGAATTGGTATGAACCGCACACATTCGCCCTGTAAATGTTGTGCTCAGCGGTTTAGTGGAACAGCATATGAAGCCCTTTTCAGCTATGGCTTAACTGCCCGAAAGTGTTCAAAGCATCTGGAGATTATTATATTCTCACTATTATTATAGAAAATGCTTTTATGAAGCAACATGAATCCATTTCTATGAAATAAGTCTACAGTATACAGCAGACGTTGTTGAACACTGATAGTGATTATAATATTGGATACATAGTGAACCTGATAATCCAACCGGAAATCATGTTTCCATGATTAAAACCAATACGGTGATAAAAGTTATCAGAGTGCTCTCTTCAATGTCGACAAACGACTAGGGGTTGGACATCATTTTTTTTAATGATTCTCATACTGAATCTCTTTGCCCTTCTCCATACTTTCCGTTCTTTTGATGTGCGTGAAGTAGTATTGAGAAGAAGGAAAGAGATCGGGTAATGTTATACTGTATGTAGTAAAGCAGAGAACGGTAAGTCACTCGTACATAACACGAACGGATTCGCCTGAAAGGAATATTTTTTGAATTTGCATATTGTAGTTGAATGCGATATTTTAGAATTGTATTTTATATTAAAGAATACCCATAAATCGGAATCATTATTCCGCTACTTTCTCTCTGGATAGTTTTTTTTTCTAGTGACTTCTCGTATGTACTCCCCTAGACGAACAGTCATGCAATGGATATTTTGATCAGTTCGCAAAAAAGTCCATTTTGCAATCGAACATTTTATCGTTGAGTTAACAAAAGAGGAGTCATCACAATGCCAAAGTGATAGAAATGTAGACAAAGTGATGAAAATCAGACTGAATTTTATTCACAACAATAACATTTTCTTCTAGTGCTGCTTTAAATCAAGGAAATTCGTTGCTAAAGAGTTGTAAATTAATAATAATAATTCTAAATGCGGGTACAAAGTGGCAAAAGCTAAGATATATTCATGATTAGCTGTGTTAGTGCATGATAATGTATACCCGAAAAATATTTTCTTCACGAACGTTGTGTTTTGCTGCAATCGCCTCATTACTGGTGCTATACA